CCAGCCCCGGGGACAGCTGCGCCGCGCCGAGAGCAAACACGAACAGGGGCAGGCATCCCCCGAATCATAATCTCGGGAAGGCACGAAACCCATGTTGGAGGAGGACGGGCGAGGGAGTTGTCGGTTGCCCCCTTTGACCGCGAGAGGCAGGTAGCCAGGCAGAGCACTACGCGGCCAGAACTCCGCTTCGAAGGCCCCCGGAAACAGCCAGCAAATCCAGAAAATTGCCGCAGACACCCGAAGACTTCCGCAGACCATCAGAGCCTCCGAAGAGCTCCGGCGACTTCCGAATACCTCCAGATGGCGCCGAACACCTCAGGAAACCACCAACAGCCACCAAGGATCTTCTCAAAACTCCAAGGAACACTTCCGAGGACCTCCGAGGGAAGAGGGGGGAAGAAAAGGGAAGGGGGAGGGGAAGGGAGCGAAAAGGAGGGGAGGAAGGACGGGCAAACAGGGGGGCAGTGGGGGAAGAAGAGGGACGGGGGAGGGGAAGGGAGCGAAAAGGAGGGGAGGAAGGACGGGTAAGTTGGGTTGGGGACGCAGGTGTTGACGTGCCCCAGCCTGCGGTTTACACTCCTTGAGGTGCTCGGGTATGGTGTGGGGAGCGGGAACGACCACATGAGTGACACCACGGCGGAACATGTGACGCCGCGGCGGCACGGATCGAACCTTTATCCAGGTAGGGGTCGGGAAGAGGGAGCGACCGCATGAGTGACACCACGCCTGCACATGTGACGCCGTGGCGGTACGGGTCGACGTGTGACCCAGTTTGGTGTGTTGGGGGGGGCCACTGCGCCATAGTGCGGAGTGAACTGACGTTGACATGCACAATCAGCCGGCAGGGGAATAAATCCAGTTCACGGCCCTAACAGTGAATGGTGGCAATTGGCGCCGTAAGGTCTTGAGGGTCTGAGTTGTGGAGGTACGCTGGCACCCCTCCCAACGGCCGTCTTCGTTGGCCGAGGGACCGTAGGGAGAGCTTCGGCCCCCTCCATTGGCAATGGCGCCGTAAGGTGACAGTGACAAGAATGGGAGCGGGACACCCAGCAGCCCCTATGATGGCAGCTGCCGAGGGGGTGGGGCCTATGATTGTCCCTCACCAGAGCGGCTGGGGCCTATGAGGGTCCTCGCCAAGGAAGAAAGGGAAGATATTCGCCCAGTCGCCAACGCTCAGGTACGGGCCCCCAGCTTGCTGGTGCCTCCGCGGGGTCCGCTTGGAGAGAGCCCTGCTCCGCGGGACGCTCTCGGGGGGGGACATGGAGAATGAGGAGAAGGAGGAGGGGGAGGAGGAGGAGGAGGAGGAGGAGGAGGAGGGTCAAACCAGAGACGAAACTTGCCCCCCTCCCCCCCTCACCCCTCCTCTTCCTCCCGCGCACGGGTAACCTGGCCCGCCCCTACAGGCCCCCTTGCCCAAGGGGGGTCACCAGGAGCCCCTACGTGCCGCCCACACCCCGAGGTGCCCTCCTGGGGGCTCCTCCTCCATCTCCTCCTCCTCCTCCTCCTCCTCCTCATCATCCTCCTCCTCCTCCTCCTCCTCCTCCTCCTCCTCCCTCTCCCTCCTCTCCCGCCTCCTCCCTCCTCCTCCTCCTCCTCCTCCTCCTCCTCCTCCTCCCTCCTCCTCCTCCTCCTCCTCCTCCTCCTCCTCCCCTCGCCCCCTCCTTCGCCTATCGGCGCTGGGCCCCCCCCTGGGCCGTCTCTGGGAGGGGGACCCAGCGCCGATCCAACAACTACGTGTGGGCATCCGAGAGCCTGTGCTTGCGCGGTTCTCCTTATGGAGGAGGCGGATGAAGGAGGAGGAGGAGGGTCAGAGGGAGGAAACCAGATCCAGGAATTCGCAATCAAAGGGGGGTGGTCTGATGTGGGAGGGGGTCGAATTTGGTGAGGATCGGGGGGCGGCAGAGGGGCAGAAGGGCGGGGGAGGAGGGGGTGGAGGAGCGGGAGAGAAGAGCAGAAGGATGGAGGAAGAGAGGTAGGGGGGCAGCGGCGGAGGGGGGCGAAGGAGGGAGGGGAAAGCTGAAACGGAGGAGGAGGAGGAGGAGGAGGATGAGGGGGAGGAGGAGGATGAGGAGGAGGAGGAGGAGGCGGAGGAGGAGGAGGAGGCGCAGGCATGCACGACGAAGGAGGCGGAGGGGGAAAGGGGGAGGCCTCCTCCAATTCTCGCCCCCCTCCCTCCTGAGGAGACGGGGCGGGGAAGGGGGGAGCATCGGGGGCTGCGCGGTGCAGCAGAGAGATGGAGGTGGAAGGGCGCGAGGCGGGAGACTGAGGGCTGCGATCCCGGAGGGGGATTGGCCTTGTCGTTCGTCTGGTTGCGCTGTCTCTGCTGCTCCTCCTCCTCTGCCCTGAAGGTGTGCTGGCCCCGACGGGCCGTGACGGCACGGCCACGCATCGGTCATGGTATGTTTAAGTCGGGCTTGTCCTCTACAGGAGGAATATTCAAACATGAGCAATTAATAGTATGGGGACGATTTGTTTGACTAGTTGTGCCCATGTGGGGGGCATGCTTTGAGTAGTTTGCATGTTTCGCCCAAAACCCCCTTGTAGGGGGGACACGCCCGATTTAGTGTCAGTCGCACGGATCGTTGTGGCCTCCAGCTGGCGTCGTCCCCCTTCTTGTTCCTGGCGGTGTGCGGGCGCGTTGCCCCCGTGGAGGGCAGGTCGGCGCGTGGGCGTGCCGCCCCCCCGTGCGTTACACCCCCAGCTGGGGATACACCCCTCGAAACCCGAAGACTACCCATCTAGGGGGGGGTAAATCGGCCAGTGGGGCCCAGCCTGCGCTGGTGGGGATGGGGATCGGCTAAACGATACTCAGTGGCTGCTGCCCTGGCAGGGTCGGGCCTGCCTGAGGTCGTCCACAGCAGCACTACAACACGCCCACCGACCGTTGAAATCATCCAGAACGCCTGCGTGAAGTCGGGCACGTCCCTCGACAGGAGGAATATTCAAAATTATCCCAGTGCGACCCTACCTAGGAGTTGGAGCCTCTAGGGAAGCAACATTAGTAGGAGCGGTAAACGCTGTCCTCGTTCTCCTCATCGTCGTAGTTGTAGCAGTGGCTGTGCTGCGCTATGCTCTGCTATGATATGCTATGCTATGCTGGGCTAGACTAGGCTATGCTATGCTATGACGTGAAATGGTATGGTATATTGCGCTATGATATGCTGCGCTATGATATGCTATGCTATGGTATGCGATGCTAGGATATGCTAGGTGATGCTAGGCTGTGTTATGTTGTGTTAGGCTATGGTATGATATGGTATGCTGCGCTATGATATGCTATGATGTGCTACGATATGCGATGCTGTGCTATGATATGTTATGCTATGCTATGATATGATAGACTATGCTATCATATGATATGCTGCGCTATGCTATGCTATGCTATGATATGCTATGTTGCGACATGACATGTTATTATGTGACATGCTATCGCTTTGATTTGATATGTTATGATATGATATGTTATGTTATGAGATGCTATGCTGCGCTGTGCTGTGTTAAGCTAAGCTAAGCTAAGCTAGGATATGCTATGATATGCTGCGCTAGGCTATGCTATGCTGTGCTATGATATGCTATGATGCGCTATGCTATGCTGCGTTATGATATGTTATGATATGATATTATATGCTATGATATGCTATGCTATGCTGTGCTCATCTGTGCTCATGCTGCGCTAAGCTAAGTTAGGCTAGGTTAAGCTAAGCTAAGCCAAGCTAAGTTAAGCTAGGCTAAGCTAAGATGAGATAAGCAACGCTCAGCTAAGGGGCCGTCACTGGGGGAACCGCGAGGCGGATACTGGGGGAACCGCCGGGGCGATTAGCACTGGCCGGCCCTTTAAGCACACACAGTAAGAACCCTTCTAGGCAGAGCCTAGGTAGGGAATAAGCCAAGGTAAGATGAGATAAGCAACGCTAAGCTAAGGGAACGTCACTGGGGGAACCGCGGGGCGGATCCTGGGGGAACCGCCCGGGGCGGGTTCCATTGCCCGGCCCCTTTAAGCAAACACAATAAGAACCCTTCTAGGCAGAGCCTAGGTAGGGAAATAGTTGAAAAACATGTGGGGACGATTGTTTGAACATGTTTGCCAAGTGTTGAATCTTTTTGGGCTATTTTCGATTTTTCGTCCAAGCTCCGCCTGTAGGGGACACGCCCGAGCTAACGCTTGCGTCATTCCGCCGACTCCCAGAGGAGGAGATGTCCGGCTTCCGACGTCGTGTGTGTTGTTTGCCACTCACCGTTGTCATTGCGGGTAGTTGTTGTTGATTCGTCCTTCTCTTCCTCCGCGTCTGTTGCGGGGCTTCTTGGGGGCTGCAGGGGCGGCCCTGTCGTAGCGTTTCCAAAGCTACCTGAGGCTGTGGGTGCTTGTTGGGGGTCTTGGGTGCCGTATTGTGGAGGAGGGCTCCGGGGGTCCTTGCGGGTTTCCCCTCCTGGGACTCCCAGCTGGGACTCTCTTGGACCTCTTCGACTCCGCGGAGGGTTGTGTCTGCCGTCTTGGGGGCCTCTTTTCTCTCGGGGGCCCTTGGGGTGTCTTGAGCCACGCTCTAACCGGGCGAGAACACGAAGATCATTCAAACACAACCTTGGGAAATCAATATGTTGTGCCTCCTGAGGTCCTCTTGGGGGTCCTCTTCATATCCTCTTTCGGCGTCTTGGGTCGTCTTGATGCTATCGTGGGTGTTGTTGAGGCCTCTCTTGCGTGTTGGAGCCCTTCTCGAGCCAGCCTGGAAAGCATCTTGGGCATCTCGGGCATCGTGGCGGCCACGAAGGGTTGATTTTGAGGCTCCGAGGGCCGAAAAAGTGCGTTGGCGAGCTCGTGTCCCCACCCTCCACCCCCAGCAAGATCTTGGACCCCAATGGGGGGGACCAGAAGCAGAGGGACGGGTGACAGCCAATCATCTTACTCGCTTGTTCTCTCTCCGCAAGCGGCGTTCGGTGTATTTTTCACGACGCTATGATTTATTCATTCTCCTCGTGTCCGAGGTTCGAAGCTTCTGCCGACTAGCCATGATGGTTCTAAAGGCTCTGTTATGTGCGCGCAGCTGAAGTCGTCTTCTGAACTTGCTGCACATGGCCGTCATCCACATGAGTGGTGTTGGTCCTTCCATGCCTGCCTGCTGCATGCTGCAGCTGTTCGGTTTCGTCTGGCTGACCCGGAGACCCCCGCGGAATCCGCAAGGCGGGTGATGAAGTTCAGCGAGCCTGGCTTGTGCTACGCTGCGCCCATGGGCAGAATTTTCAGAAAGAACTAGAATCAGATCGGAGAAAACGTCGACCATGGGAAGCGACTGGCCTCAGACATGAAAGTCATATTGCGAAGGCCTTACGGCCGGTGCCGCCGACCCTGAATGGCGACGACGACGACTACGACGACGACGACGACGACGACGACGCGCGCTCTTGGGGGCCTCTTGGGGGTAGTTTGTGGGCCTCTTGGGAAGCTCTTAGGGGCCACTTGGAAGCCTCGTGGGGGCCTCTTGGGGCTTCCTGGGGGTCTCTTGGAGGGAGCCTGGGACGTCTTGGAGGCTTCTTGGACGGTCTTGGGGCTATCTTGGGCGTTTTCGGCTGATTTTTGGGCGACTCGGGGCCCTCTTGGGCCGTCTCGGGGGCCATCTGGGGCATTCGGACCTCATTTGGAGTGTTTTCGAGGTTTCTAGGCCGCCCGAGGAAAAACGAATCTGCCCCCCCACCCCCCCCGGGACCCCCCCCTGGACCCCCCCCCCCCGGGGAAGGGATCAAAGGGAAGGGGCTTCTTTTCGACTCGATTACGACACTGCTCGATTTTTCTCTCGCTCACGAGCTTGAGAAGGAAGCTGCAGGAAAAGGGGACGACGGAGGCGACGACCGACGGAGACGACGACTCGAACAGCCAAGCCCCTCGCACACGCCGACAGGGTCGGCGGATTTGCTGGCCTCGTCCGCGATGCAAACACGTTCGTGATAGATAACTACTTCATGCTGAGGCGACTGGGTCTGCACTTCAAAGACTACCAGTTCTTTGTGTTTGAGAGTGATTCCATCGACGACACCTACACTGTGAGCCTTCCTTCTCAATGGGATGCACGGTTTAACTTCCAGACCAAAATCCTCAACATGTCGGTTGAGCGGGGGTTAGAGAGGCACAGGATGGAGCGGAGTGTCGTTCTTCGGAATGCATTTCGGGATTTGATCGAAGATTTTGTCAGCACCCGACATGGTTGGGACTTGGTCGTTATGTATGACTTCGATAATGCAATCGCTCCGCGTGCCATTCCACCTCATGCGTTTTTCAATGCGTGGGGTCGGCAGGAGACTCGTAATGGAGCTTGGGACATGCTTTGCCCTAAGCGGTCTGAGGCATCCATGCGGCAACACACAGTGCCAGGCTTACCACTACGACTGTTTTGCCTTCCGGGATGAGCACTTCGACTCGTTCAATGCGGCTCGCGATGGTGGCGTGGCCGCGAACTCTTTTGCCCAGTACGATTTGGACCCTGTGCACTCGTGCTTCGGGGGGCTGGCCGTGTACAAGACCCAGAAGCTCCTGGCGAGAGGGGCAGGGGAGTTTGGAGGCGGCCATGGAGTCTGATCTGGCGGGGCCCCGACAAAATCAGACAGTAGGGTAGGTTTGCGTCGTGTCGACCAGCGGCGACCCCAGCGTGGGCGTTCAAGGTTGAACGCCGCTGGCGACCCAGAATCGATCGACGTTGAACGATCGGACGTTGCGGCAGCGGCCGATCGTTCAAGGTTGAACGATCCCTGCGGTGTCAAAAACCAACGCTGGGGTCGGCACGACACGAACCTGCCGTAGGTGGGGATGGAGGCAAATCCCCTCGAGTTGGAGGCGGCCATGGGGTCTGATCTGGCTGGGCCCCGACAAAATCAGACAGCAGGTGGGGATGGAGGCAAATCCTCTCGAGATCGGCCCCGGGCCCCTCTGCGGGGTCCTCTGCGGTGTGTCTTGCTTGCTCCCTCGGGGCCCGTGCGCGACGCCCCCGGGGCCCGACGACGGCCCCCGGAAGCCGAAGAGGGCAGCAGCCTCGTCGGACCCGGCCCCGCCCTGCTGGCCGGAGCCGGTGCTGGGCCACCTCATCGGAGCCTAAGAGACGGGGGTCAGTGCAAACGGGGGTCAGCCAGAGCGCCAGATCCTGCAGGATCCTGCGAAGGCCCCCTCTGGCTGACCCGGGTTAGCGAGCCGCTCGTGGCCGCGAGGCGGCCGCTCGTATTGGCTGACCCGGGTTTACGAAGACCTGCGTTGCAGTTTTTGTTCCTGCATTGCGGTTCTTGGTTTCCTGCTGACCCGGGTCTGGATTGACCCGGGTCAGAAGATCCCCGACTCAGACTCCCGTCGATTCCAGCAGTGGAGGGTATGTCACCAGCCTGGAACAGATCCCTATCCCTGTGGTTGACATCGCCTCATCTCGGTGCCGATCTTGGGGGTTCCCTCCGTTTCTGAGGGCGCATCCCTAAGATTGTCGTCGACTTTTGGCTTGTTAGTCTTAGGGGTAGGGATACGTTCGAGGCTGGTTAGTATGGGGTGGCACGGGGGGGAGTCGGCGACGCGCAGAGGGGGCTGGGGGGGAGGGGGGAAGGCTTCTCAGGAGCCACACTGCTTCACAGAAGGCGCGGCCCTCGTCTCAGGCGCCTCCTCAGAAGCAGCCTCCTTCTAAGAAGCCTTCTCCCTACCCCTGGGCGCCTTGTGGGCAGTCTTGGAGCCCTCTTGGGCCGTCTTGGAGCCCTCTTTTGGGCCTCTGGGGCCGTCTTGGGGTGTTCTTGGGGGCACGTTGGGCCGTCTTGGAGCGTCGGAAGCTCGAAAAACCGAGAACCCTAAAGGATTGCAATATACACGGCGAATCAATGATTTTGGTCTCTTGGGGCTCTCTTCAGAAAGCTTCTGGGGCCCACCCCCATGCGCGCGCCGCCAACAGGAGGGTAGGGATCGGATCGGACCGGCACCTCCTCCTCCTCCTCTTCCTGCTCCTCCTCCTCGACCTCCTCCTCCTCCTCCTCCTCCTCCTCCTCCTCCTCCCTCCTCCTCCTCCTCCTCCTCCTCCTCCTCCTCCTCCTCCTCCTCCTCCTCCTCCTCCTCCTCCCAGGAGGCCCCAAAAAGGCGACAGCGCGGCTGCCTGCTGCCTGTCCCTCCTCCGCGGCACAGCCGTGGGCGCCCTGCCCACGGGGGGCACGCGGACGCTTCGCGGAGGAGGAGGAGGAGGAGGAGGAGGAGGAGGGGAGGAGGAGGAGGAGGAGGAGGAGGGACGCTCGAGGAGGAGGAGGAGGAGGAGGAGGAGGAGGAGGAGGAGGAGGAGGAGGAGGAGGAGGAGGAGGGACGCCTCGAGGAGGAGGAGGAGGAGGAGGAGGAGGAGGAGGAGGAGGGGGAGGAGGAGGAGGAGGAGGAGGAGGGACGCCTCGAGGAGGAGGAGGAGGAGGAGGAGGAGGAGGAGGAGGATCAGCACGTGGTTGGAGAGCGCAGCAGGTTAGCTCCGCGCAGGCCCTGCGTCCTGCTGTAAGGACTGGGCTTTCTCTGTTCTGACTGCTTCGGCGGCAAGAAACTTCGACGAGCCTCTGGGGTGGGCTCTGGAAAAGGGTCTGGGCCTTGAAAGAGAACTTGGGGTGCTTGCCCGCACAGAGGAGTCTCCACTGTGTCCTGTCACCCTCCCGTCTGAAGCCAACACAGCTCTCGTGGAGTTTGTTCACATCAGGTTCACTGTACTTGCCGCAGCCAGAGCACATCAGGATAAAATTCCAACTCCGAGTTTGACGAGCAAAATAAACTTTGTGGCTCTTGGGGTCGGCAGCTATCTGAGACATCTGTCAGTGGCAGCTCCGACAAGCCTCATCTTTGCGAGACATACAAATTCTGTCCGAGCAGCGGGTTTTACAGGTCGAGCAACGCTTGGACCTCTCGTTCCACTCCCAAGAGTGGCTGATTCTCTGGGGCCGAGGGACCACGAGAGCTGGTGGAGGAGGAGCCTCGCCAGTCCAAACCACACGGGCACTGGACGCTCCAGCCGCAATGGGCTGCGCCACGGTTTTATCCCGAGAAGCAAACGCTTTCTTGCTGGTGTTGGGTCCGACGGGCTCCCACAAACTTAAAGCTCGAACAACATATCTAAGCCACTTGGCCAGCAGGGGTCTGATCTCGGCGGCTTCCTGGATCTCATTGGTCGAGGGTCGCTGCAACACCTAGGCTCCTAATTTAGCGAATGCATCGGCGACGTCGTTACCCGTGGCTATCAGCCACGCTTCTGAGCCCTGGGTGAACCTTCGAGGCTCTGGTGAGCTTTGATTTTACCGAAAGTGATTCCACAGCGCCAGTTAATCTAGCCTTTGGCCAACATCGCAATGCCCGAATCTGTCTGCTTCCTACTGTGGTATTCGCTATACACATCTATCACGCCTTGCTAATCCGCGATTATCTTGTCAATTGAGGAGGGGAGGAGGAGGGGGCAGCAGCAAGCACAGCAAGATGCACAGCCGAGGGGGAGGTTTGGGGGAGGTTACGACCGACAGGGCCGTACACTGCTGCAGTCATGTCGTCTTCATCGTCGACGGCGATGGCTGCATATCCTGCGATATGGTGGTCTTGGGGACCCTGCTTGAAACAAGATCCTTCTGTACACATCGTGCCCCTTAGAGCCTCAGAGATGTGAACATCGTCGCGAGTCCAAACCGCCTGCTGTTGCAAGCCTAGGCCCTCGGGAGCTCCCGTGGACCAGTCCAAACCTTCCAAAGAACCAGCCTGGAGCGGGAACTTCTCTGGGTCCATTAGGACCTGGGCCTCAGCCCCATTAAAACTTTCATCTCTGAGGGGCGCTGTACAGGGGCAACTCACGAGTCTATGATGTAGATCGTCTGTGGGGGTCCACACTGGCGCTCTCTTTCCGTGGGGTACCCTGCTTTTCTCAAACAAGTCTGGGTCCAACTACATTGGGTCAGGAAGGCCAGGAGGGTAGTTCTCTCGGACTGCGATAAACTCGGGTCTTTCAGAATCTTTTCAGCCGTGGTAGTGTTGATCGTACCCTGGAGGCTGAAAGTCTTGGCGGCCTGCTCGTGCAATTGCTGGTCCCAGGCCTGCTGCATCGAGGTCTGGGGTAAGCTGGGAGAGGCGGAGGTTGAGCCATGGGTCCTCTCGTTTTGATCGATCATCGTGAAGGGAGAGGTGAGCCGCCAACCCAATCGATGCGCGCATGGATTAGCCTCTCCGAACGGGCATCTGCATTCTCCCCGCGAACTTGGAGGGTTATCGAGGACAGCGGCAGCAAGAGCACGAAGTTGGGGCAAACCATGGCCGGGTGAATTCTGACCTACCATCACGCGCCAAACCAATTGTGACCATATGATAATGGGTCCCACTCCTGGGCGCCAGCACGGATCGCCAAGCAAGCACAGGGCCAAGGTGCTGGACCTCGCAGTAGTACCTTGACCTGCTATCTGGAGATAAAGCTCACGAGCTGCTTTGAGTTCTTTGTTGCCTAAACCTACCACTTCCGCTCCGTAGAATTGGGCCTGCCCGAAGCCCGTGTTGTGCAATTTCAGGGTGTTAGCTCCTGCTCGTCTTGCAGCTCGTATTCTGGCTGATCTTCCTTTTAGCTTCCTATGACGTTCTCGAAGTTTAGAGCTTGTTATACCTTTGCATATTTTTGACCTGCTCTGAAATCAACTCCTAGGTTAGCTGCGTGATGGGGGGGCGATCCTGAGTGCCTTCCAGGCGCCTTAGCAAGTCGTTTTTACAAATCGAAAGCCGAGGCCAGCACGGCAGACTTGTCGATGGCAGTGACGCACTCCAGCTCATACTGGATCGCGCTCAGGAGGCTGGCGGCAGCACGCTACAACTCTGCAACTACACTGGTATTACACCTGTTGGAGTAGAGGAGGAGGAGGTCATCAATGAACATGTGGAGAGAGACTTGAACGTTACTGGTCCAAATATCAAGAGCCTTTATACAATGCGTCTGCACCAGGAAGGTCGCGAACGAGCAACCTGCGGGGAGACCTTTAGTGGGATATCCTGCATGCGATGTTAGGTTATTTTGCGCCATCAACCTTTGGCCTTGATACTGATGTAAGACAATTGCCATTATAGCTTCATTAAATCCAGAATCTAGAGCTCGTCGGTGAAGTTTCTCCCAATTGGCATGCCCGTGGTAGTTAGTTGAGTCCCACGTGATCGACGCGGCGCGCAGCTCCTCCTGCTGGATGGCGCCACGCTCTGCCTGCAAGGATGAATGGTAAACCAGCTCCAAGACCGATCGCCCTGCTTGATGGGCCAAAGACGCGCGCATGTTTCTGCACTCCCAGCTTCTTGCCTCAGCCTGTCTTATCCGGCCCCGAACTCGATGAACAGCTGGCATACGACCTATGCCCCGATGAGACGGCCCGTCCCCCGATGGCTTACGCTTCGGGATGAGGGTGGATATAACTCCAAGAAGCTGAGGCGGCATGCAACCAACGCGCTCCACGCACATGAGGAGCCTGCAAAAAAACAACCTTCTGCCGATCGCTCGCCAGCAGCCTAGAGCTCGGGGAGCCCCGGGGGCAGCGCGAGGATCTCCAGGAACCGTGGGGCGAGGGGCCTGCTGGGATTCCCATATCTCTGTGAGACGTCCGACCTCCGAGTAGGGCAACTCCGTGGGACTTCCTGAAAAATCCCCGCTGGCAGTCTTTGTTTTAATCGGCTTCCAGACCTGGACCTGGACGTTCTTGGTCCACCGACGTCCACCAGACGGTCCCGAGGTCATTTTATACGAGACCCATTGCTTCCAACATTGCGTAGCCCCCAAAGGCTCGGAATTTCTTTCCTTATTCAGAAACTTCTTCACCTGGTCGTGCAGCTCCGAAAAGATGATCCGAGCCCGTTTTTTACAAAAAAATAATATATATATATATATATATATATATATATAACTTTTAGACCCTGAACTTGAATGTCTCGCTGAAGACTTTCGCCGAAAGTGCGGGTCCTGTCGAGCAAGGCGGACAGGTCCTCATTCGAATGAAACTCTGCAAGCGGCTCTCCAAGCGCCTGGAGGATGTCGGGCAGCTCGCCGGCCTGCTTCCTGGCAATGGTACCTTGGGTATCCATCACCTGATTGAGCAGCCAACGGGCCGAGCGCCAGAACAACTTCCATTCTACTCGGTGCTGACTCTCGACTGCCTTAGCTGATAACCAAATCAACTTGGGGGGCGCATCTACGTCCAGGATGTTTGATAACAGTATTAGTAGCTCTACGAGTAGTAGCTTCCAAATGACCTATCATGATCTCATAAGTCCTTTCTAGAGCGGCTGGTTGTTGCGCTGGGTCGTCTATCTCATCCACGATGTTTTCCAGATTCTCCAGGGCGGCAAGAGTTTTTGTCCAGGAATGGGCCTCCAGGGATGGTCCGAAGGGCTTCCTGGTGGGGAGCTTCTGGGGCTTCTGCAACACAGGGGTCATCGCGTTGGCCCCGAACGCGAACTCCAAGCGTACGGGGCGGTGGGGGATAGAGGATATTGCTTTAACACGTTGATAGACTGCGCCGAACTCTTCAGACACGAACTCATGAGGAAAAACAATCTTGCTGCGAGCCTTGCCTTCAAACATTGTGCACCCGTCTGGATGCACCATCTCTACGCCTGCTCGTTCGCATACACCTGATTCTGTGATCGTCGAGGGGTTCATGTTGATATCTGTGCCCATGAAGACGGGCACCTTGTGTTACTGCTGACGCCATCCTGCCGTGGCGAGAAGGTAAAGGTTGGCACTGCTGAGCCCCACTGAGTCTTCAAAGTTGGCAGCGATGAAGCAAATCTGCTGGTGACCAGGGATCGCCAAGATTGCTGCTGCTGCTCGGTGGACTGGAATATACGGGGGAAGATCAGCTGGTTGAATTCCTATGTTGTTGCCGTCGCGCACCAAGGTGCCCGTGCCACTCACCGGGTACCCGCTGTCGTTGTAGATACAATCAGAGAAGATGGCCTTCCATCCTCGTTTCTCGCGCCATTGAATTGCCCGCGCTAATTTGTCACCTGACAGCTTCACCTCTTGGCAGACGATGACAAAGACCTTCTCGGATTCTTCTGCTTGTACAAAGTGCTGGACTGAAGCCCAGCAGCTGCCGTTGATCGTGACAGCGCCAAGGGTACGGGGCTGGCTGCCGTTACCCACCATGCGGCGTCTTCTGCGTCGCCCCCCCCCTTTCCGTTGGCCTTTGCTGCGGCCTGCGCCTGCAAGAGCGCCGCCCTGGCCTTCTTGGCCTCCTGATCCGAGGCTTGGATTGGGATCGACCCCCAGCGCCTGCTGCAGCGCGTCCGCCTCGCTGGCAAGGCGCTTCTGCGCTGCTGATGCGTCGGTTGGCTTGTCGTCCATGGCGTTGGCTGCGCCCTGCGATTGGTCCTCCGTCTCACCGACCTTGGGGGGCCCTCCTGGCGTCGACGTCTCAGACGCTGGTGCCGCGGCTTGCTGGGGCTCCTGCAGCGCTGGCTGCGCAGGTGGCGGCACCTGCTCTGCCTGCACTTCAGGGCGCGCACTGTCTCCAGCGCCTGCCCCAGCAACAGACGCCGCGGTGGGCCCTCGCCTGGACTGCTGTCTGGATGCTCTGCTCCAGCGCGTGGACCTGCTCCTGGATGTGCAACGGCACGTCGGAGACGGGCCCTGCTGCCAAGTGCTCCATGAACTGGTTGAGCTTCGGGAACGGCACCTGCTTGTTCGGATGTGGAACTGCCGCTGCCTCTGAGTGAACTGCAACTGCATGCTGCGCCTCCAGCTGCTACACCTCCTCGCGCAGCGTAGCGATGGACGACTGGAGTTCAGGATATTCTCCTGCCAAGACTGAGAGCTGCTCGAGCTTCTCTGTGGATTCGGACTCCGACTTCTGAATGCGTTCCTTGGCGCGCTCGATCTGGTATCGCAGCGACTGCGCCTGCTGGTCGACCGGTTTCTGCTGGAGCACTGTCTGCTTGGCGGCCTTGAGCTGGAGCACGGCTGCCTCGTAGCTGGTCCGTCCCACGCCCTCGTGCTCTTTCCAGAACTGGACAAGGTCCTGGTAGGTGGCGACGTCGGGCGTAGGCGTAGCTGATGTTGGTGCCTGCGCGTCAGATTGAGCGGCTTCTGCTTGGTCTGCTTGCTGCTTGTCGTTCCCCCGAATGCCTTTAGCTGCATGCTTGCCACCTTTCCAACGATTTGCACCTGCTGGCGGGGTAGGATAATGAGCTGATCCCTTATCATCTCGTCCTTTGCCTCGCCCTTGAAACTTTTGGCCACATCGGTGGCAGTACTTGCTTTGATCGCACCAGCCCCAACCAGTGCACTGCGGATAGTTGTAGACGAAGTACTCACGACGTTGCGGCTGACTGTACCCTCCTCTTTTCTTCCCAGACTTTGCCATCGCCCTGTCCCCAACACTGCCCCAGCGAGGAGCAGCAAGAAACCAACGGGCTGCTTGGGAGGCTGGGGCTTCCTGGAAGCCCGCGGGGTCAAGCTTGGGCCCCAGCCCACTGGACCTGACCAGCGAGGCAAGCTTGAGCCAGGTGGAGGAAGAGGAGGAGGAGGAGGAGGAGGAGGAGGAGGAGAAGGAGGGGGGGGGAGGAGGGGGAGGAGGAAGAGGTGGTCAGAGCGCACCCTGGGAGAGGTCCGGAGAGCAGGGGAGGTCGGCATATTTTCGTTCCCCCAGCCCTACGGCAGGGTCGTGCCAGTAGTGTCGACGCGGCGGCGGCCTCGCCGCGGGCGTTCACGGCTCCGCGCCGCCAGTGGCCCAGAGTTGGCCCATGCCTAACGGTCCGGCGGTTCAAAGGAGCCGCGGGCCGCTCTTGGTGCGGCGTCTGAAGCCAACGCTGGAGTCGGCACGACGGAGGCCCGCCGCAGCCACTGGACGCCATGCGGAGGGGGTCGGCGAGGGGATGGGCGCGGGTCATGGTGTTCCAGCCTGCTTCGGCCTCGACACCCAGAAGGAAGGTCGAGCGCCAAGAAAGTACCGAGGCTGGAGGGCTTTCACGTGTCGGGCCCTGGGAGGCGATACTCGTTCGACACTCTTTGGACAGTTTTCTGGGTGCTCGAAATTACTTTGAGGATCTGGTTCAAATTACCTTGGGTGCTCGGAATTACTTTTGGGTGCTCGGAATTAAATTTCTGGGTGCTCGAGATGGCGATGGGAGCAAGATAGGGATGAGTGAGGGGATGGGGAGGGCTGCCGCTACAGCGCGAGCGAGTACGACAGCGAGCACGTCGGACTCAACAGCTGCATGCGCGGGCAGGGCAGCCACTGCCGCCTGTATTTGGACCCGCTCCTGACGCTGATCGCCGACCCGATCACCCCGCTCATATGCCACCCCAACGCCGCGGTCCTCTGAGCAGCGCCGCGCACGCCCGGCTGCGCAGGCCGGTGGCGGAACCTGGGGAGGGAGGAGGAGGAGGAGGAGGAGGAGGAGGAGGAGGAGGAGGAGGAGGAGGAGGAGGAGGAGGGAGGAGGAGGGAGGAGGAGGAGGAGGAGGAGGAGGAGGAGGAGGAGGAGGGAGGAGGAGGAGGGAGGAGGGAGGGGAGGGGAGGAGGGAGGAGGGAGGAGGGAGGAGGGAGGAGGAGGAGGGAGGAGGGAGGGGAGGAGGAGGAGGGAGGAGGGAGGAGGGAGGAGGGAGGAGGAAGGAGGGAGGAGGGAGGAGGGAGGAGGGAGGAGGGAGGAGGGAGGAGGGAGGGAGGAGGAGGGAGTGAGAACAGTCGCGAAGCGAAGATTCGATAACACACGCCCCCCCCTGAACTTGTCGGAGAACATGACGAACAGGTAGGAGACGCACTTCATTCCGTACAGCTGGCTGAAAGAGAAGCCCGTGGAACACCGAGTGATGCCGCGGATGGGTGCCTCCAAAACATGACAGTCTGCTCACCCCTTCAACACAACCAGACAAATACAGAAGAAGTTGAAAGAACGCCAAAAGCCACCTTGATACAAATAAGCTGAACCGAAGCACACTCGATACGGCTCACTACAGCGAACTGGTCATCGGGCAACCCCGAAGGATCGTTCACACCGAAAACAGCCCCATTGCAGTCAAGGAAAGCCCCCAGCACTTGCAATACTTTGCATACGATGCGGAACAAGGCGTGTGATTATGACAGAAGAAAACTATTGCTTCCACAAGCCCGTGCCAAAATCCCACCAACAGTGCATAGTTCGCCCTGGAGAGGGTCGGAGAAAGGCCAATTAAAGGCACCTCCCCTCCCCAGGGACGGACGCCGACAAAGAAGTTCAGGAAGTACCCAGAACTTGAAACAAATGCGATACCAAACGCACATTGCACTGCCCACCAGTGGTACGCCCAGGCGACGGGTGGGTGGATAATTGCCACAAGGCGCCGAGGTGCCGCCCCACCCCGCCACCTGGGACGGATGCTGATGAAGAAGTGCAGAAAACATCCCAAGATAAAACCTCCCAGGAATGAAGTGGATGTGATACTCTCTTGCGTCGGTGACCCCATATTCTGTAAACAGCAAGGGTGTACATGAAGGACACCACGGCAAGAAGAGGCCACATCGAAAACTAGCCGACTCATGATGTGCCCTTCTTCGCCACCAGGTATAGAAGCTCGGACTGTGCACCACGACCGAACTTCCGCTCTGGGCCCCCCAAGCGCCGCGAGAAGGCGAAAGGCACGACCGGAGACATCGCCAGGAAGCCAAAGTCAGCTATGGAGACGCCTCGGGCCGATGCTTGAGAGGAGGGAAGAGGGAGGAAGGCGGAGGGAGGAGGGAGGAGGGAGGAGGCGGCGGAGGAGGAGGAGGAGGAGGAGGGAGGAGGCGGAGGGAGGAGGGAGGAGGCGGAGGAGGAGGAGGAGGAGGAGAGTTTGCTGGATGAGGAGGACCGCGCGGTTTTTAGCGCCGTCCTTGGCGCGCTTCGTGCGCCAGGAAGGGGGGTCCAGCGCCGATCCACTATATCCGCGCGGACCTTCGAAAGTTTGTGCGTTGTGGCATAATTTGTTCCCCAAGAGGAGGAGAAGGAGGAGGAGGAGGAGGAGGAGGAGGAGGAGGAGGAGGAGGAGGAGGAGGAGCGCTTGCGGAGGAGGAGGAGGAGGGCACACTGGAAGAGGAGGATGACTAGGAGGGCGGGCAGACCGACTGTGCCAGCCTTGTCAGCAGGCTCCTCGCTCCTTCCCGTTCCCGCGGCGCGCGGGAGAAGCCTCTCCGACAAGCAGCAGGCAGGCGCGGGCGGGAGAGACGGCCGCTCGGGTCGTTGCTCCTGCCGGCAGCGCGCCAGCAGCGCGCCAGCAGGCTCTGGTGGTACGGCGCTCGTCGTCGGCCGCGGCGGCCCCTGGGCTTGCCCAGAGGACCCCGCGGCTCGGGCCGAACGGGGGGCAGAAGGGAAAGGGGAGGGTTACGAAATCTGCCGCATGCAGCTGGTTTTGGCCCCGCCGCCGGGTCCAGTCCTCGATGCATGGGCGCCTCCCGGCGTCGGGAGGCGCTGGGAGAATCAGCTGCGTGAGCTGATTCTCTACCCTACCCTTGCGATCCCCCCCTTTCGTCCCCCTCGAGCGGCGGAAGCGTCCAGCCATGCTCCCGCCATTCTTCACCTCGAATCGCACGAAGCCCAGACCCCGACGCCATGATGTTTCATAACGTCGACCCCCGGAGATCTCGACCCTTTCCTTGGGACCGGTTTCCACATCCTGAGTTGTCTTTCGACGGTCCCGAGGTCCGGTCATGGCCTCCAGAGACCGAAAATAGTGAAACACCGTCTGTCGCGATTTTTTCACAGCGCGAGGGTGTCTGGGATACCAGCGCTGATGCTGACTTCAACCTCCCAGGAGTTGCATCCAAGGTCTGGTGCCTTCTGACCTTCTGGGAGGCGCCCTCGTGGCCGCGGCCAGATTCCCCTTCGAAGTTCTGGCCAAGACGCAGCCCAGGACGGGTCATGGGGTCGACTTCTGGGGGAGGGGGCGATGCGAGGCGATGTGGGGCGAGGTGAGGTTGCCAGGGATCCCAGACCTCCTCGTGGTGTACCAGGATCTTGCCCGAGGGCCGCCGTGCCATCTCCGGCTTCCGCGGCGGGGGCCTCCATGGGGCCACGGGACCGTCAAGCAACGACTCGGGATGAGTAGCCCGTTCCACGGAAAGGGTCAAGACTTTTGTCATCGAGGATAGATCAGAGCGTGAATTACCTATCCCGCTTTCGCTTCCAGCTAAAACCAAGTCATACCACGCGCCTCCCCGTCGAGCGGCCTGACCAGTGCGGGCCGTAGTTTGGCATCGCTTGGTAGCTCTTGGAAGCGAGGGTGGTCAAAAGCGAGGTAGGTTCGTTCGCCCCCCGATAAAAAGAACGCTTAACCCTACTAACAGAGTGAAGGCTTGAGTCGGCCCGCTCGCTCTGCTACCCGCCCTCACCTTGAACCCCCCCAGCCTAGATACCGAAATGCCCAGGCATGGCCGTGTTGATGCCTCGGATGCCTAGGCATCGGCATGGGTATGCCTACTCATGCATCGAGGGATGCGTCCATGGACGTAGCTGGGCGTAGCCGATGCCTAGGCATCGACGTGGTGATGCCTAGGCATCAAGCTGGCGATGCCTCGGCATCGGCAGGAGGGCGAGCAGGGTAGGCATCGTTGCTTCAAGGGCCCTTTGATTGCTCATCACTCTGGGGGGGTGTCGATCTGCTGCGTGCAGCTGGTTTCGGCCCCGCCGCGGGCAGCCTCCCTCGACGCAATGGCGCCTCCGGCGCCCGCTGCCGTTGTTGGTGGAGCTGCCGTTGTTGGTGGTAGGACTCAGCGATGCTCCACAGCGACGCTCGCTCAGTCAGCCGACGGTCGTCGCTGCGCAGTTGGGTGCGGCAGTTCGGCCAACCCCTCCTGAAACCCTTCCGAAGAAGTTTTTCGGAGGGTTCTTCCAGAAAGTCCTCCTGAGGAAGGTTTCAGGAAGGCTCTTCCAACAAATCCTCCTGAGGAAGGTTTTTGGAAGGTGTTAGGAAGGTTCTTCCAAAAAGCCCTCCTGAGGAAGGTTTTAGGAAGGTTTTAGAAAGGCTCTCCCAAACATTCCTCCTGAGGAAGGTTTTCGGAAGGTTTAAGGAAGCCTCTTCCAAAACACCTTCCTGAGGAAGGTTTTAAGAAGGTTCTTCCACACCAACCTCCTGGGGAAAGTTTTTGGAAGGTTTTACGATGCGGGCCGAACTTCCGTACAATGACCGAAAGTCCATCCAAGCGGCGCTGTCGCCTCGGCGCGGGCAGCACACCGCCAGCATCACCTGCACGCCGTGGCCAGTTTAAGAGCGAGTCGCGAGGATTTCGTTGCCGATTTTTTTGGGGGGCGTACCGTTCAACCCTTTAGGGCAGCCCAGCGTTGTCAAATGTTGCGCAGCAGTTGCACGACGACGGTGGGCGCACCGTAGAACTTTTCATGACAACCCATCGTTGTCAAGATCTTCGTGGCGGTTGTAAGACGAGCGCGGGCACGGTGGTCGCGCGCATTTGGGTGGTCACATTCATTATGGTGCTCGCATGTGGTTGGCTAGACGGGACTTGTAGGTCTTGGAAAGATCTTTGATAAGCCTTGGCTAGGTCGTGGGCGGGCCGTCATTGGGCTCTGGGTAGGCTGTGTATCAGCTCTTGAAAGGCCGCCAGGTAGGCCTGAGGCAGGCATTCGATAGGTCGTCGGGCTGACCTTGGGCAGGCCAGGGGGTTCGTGGGCAGGCATTGGACAGTTGGCATTGGGTTTGCTCCGGGTGGGCCTTGAACGCTCTGGGTCGTCTAGGTCTTGGGGAGGCGTAGAGTGCGTGAGGGTTGTGCCGAAAGCGGGCCCATTGAGCCGTCTTGAGAGGTAGCTGTTTTCTATGTCTTGTTTCGCCGATCGGCGCGGGCTCCCGCCCACACCCCTCCCCAACGACCAGATCTTGGCTGCTTTTAGCGGCTGCTTCGAGCGGGTGGATTAAGCATTGGGGCCCGCCCCGGAAATGGAGAAAAAGGGTATGTAGTCAGCTGAAATGGGATCATGCGGAATCCTTTTAGCTTGCGGCCAGCCTGTATTTTTCATTGTTGCACGCCGAATGGAAAAAAGTCCACTGCGTCGAAAGCGAAAATATTTTGAAGCGTTGCATACCGAGTGAAACACGTCCACCGCGCACGCAACAGCTCTTCTGCCGCGTGGAATGTGCTTCCGTTGGTCCGCCAAAAGGGGGATGGAAAGGAGAGGGAGTGAGAGGGCTTGCTGAGAGGAGACTACAATATTAAGGTCGATTGGGGTTCACGGCATGCATCCATGGGGACATAGAGGGAGGGTGCGATTTGCTGATTGACCATGATTGATAGAAGCCTTTCTGCGCTCCGACGCTGCAGACACTAGACCGTCGCCGCATCTTGCTAGAACCAAAACGCGCGCAGCGCGCGCGTGGTTCTAGTTTTTTCATAGAGCGGAATCCTGCTCCCGGAGGCCCCGGGCTGCAGCACACCATTGTCACCCAGAGTCACCTAAGGGCCCCCTCCCCTCCCAGGGCTTCCCCTGAGCCTCCCCAGAGCTTCAGCGGAGGCCCCCATGACCCCCCAGAGCTTCCAGATAAGTTCCAAGGGAGTCCAACACGGCCCCAGATGGCTTCCAAACGGCCCAAGGCGCCCCAGGGAGCACAACATAATATGATGCAGCATCGGAACCGGCGCAGTTTTGGCACGGTTCCGGCCGCGGCTCAGGCTCGTCACGGGTCCGATGCGGCCCGCGGCGCGCAGTCCACCGAAGATGCAGCAGAATGCCATGGTAGCAAAGCTTGCCCCGAGCCGGTGCTTCCCGCGCCGCGGCGGCGCCGCGGGTCCTGACGGGAGGTGCGCGGCGGGAGGGCAGGAGGCACCAGGGCGGCAGTTTTTTTCGACGGCGAGCCCGAGGGGGAAAGGTCCGAGCCACCTCTCCGAACCACCTTGCGGGCAAGATGTTTCTCCACTCTGCCAGGTCGCACGTACGACTCCAGCCGCAGACATGTATGCTTGTGGGATGGTTTCCTCTGTGTGCAAGCTGTAGTTCGGTTCGAGCGCAGCTCTGACGGACGCATCCACATGGCGAATTTTCCGACGCTCCGGCGCAGCACGATGCTTAACTGGCGCTGCTGTGCATCTTGGCGTTCTTGACCCACGTGCGTGCCTCGCGACTTGTGCTTTAGCAAAACGAAGTGTGCCCAAGAGGCGGGATTGAGGACTTGCGACGGCGACGACGACGACGAAGACGACAGCGTCTCACACACGAAGAAGGATCGGCTGATTTTCGCTTTTTGTTGAGTACACCTTGCGGTTAAGTGTTTCAGTTTCGCCCGTTGTCAACATTTTTCGGGTGGTGGGTTACCGATTTGATCGATGCGTCGTTGTAATTTTGAAGAGGTGGTTTCCTTTGGCTGCTGTTGTTGTCGTTGTTTATCGAATGGCTGCCGCCTCTGCCGCCGACCCCAATTGAGCGGCGTACGTTTGATTCGTTTGTTGTCGGGCTGCCTTTCCGAACACGGTAGGAAGGGTCCAGGTGAGACATCCAGGCTTGAGCCTCGCCCCCTGGACTCTTGATTCTCTGTTGCACCTCGGACTCCTCTCTATCGAATGGCCTTCAGCCCATCTCGCCACTGTGCCTGGGTTGTGGGTGTGAAGCCTATTGGATGTTCGGTGGGATTTCGTGGGTGACCTTTAGGGAGCCTCTTGGATGCAGTTTTGAGGCCTCATGGGGGCAGTTTTGGGGCCTCTTGGGGTCGCTGTTGGGTCCCTTGGGCGCCTCGTGAGTGCCTCTTGAGTGCCTCTTGGGGCCTCCTGGGGGCCTCTTGGGGAGGAACGCTCGGATTTTCGGTTCGTGTTCCCTCTCTCGGGCAACTGTTGGGGCCGTCTTGGTGTCCTCTTGGACCGTCTTGGGCGCCTCCTGGGCCCTCGAGGGCCGCCTTGGGGCCCTCTTGAAGGCCTCTTGGGCAGTCCTGGGGTGGTATCGGGAACCTCGAGGGCCGTCAGAGAGCGTCGGGAAGGAAACACGGCGAGAACGCCACAATCTTTGAAACAACGAAGGCAAATCAATTATTTTTTGCCTCTCTGGGTCCTCTTGGGAGGCATCTTCGAGGCCTCTTGGGGCATTTTGGAGGCCTCTTGGGCCATCTTGAGGCCATTCAGGGCGTCTTGGAGCGCTCTTTGGGCGTCTCAGGGCGTTCTGGGCCGTCGTGGGCCTCTTTGGGCCCTGTTGGGCCCGTTTGGGGGCCCCCATCGCTCCGAAACGGTCACGCGAGAAACCGCGCGAAGCCCCAGGAGAAGATGTCGCGATGTGAGGTTTGGGCTCCCAACGACTTCTCAGGCGTGATGACTGAGGTTGAGAGGATGATGGCAAGGACCTGAGGGCACGCCCACTCCGTGCCCAGAGGCACGGTGGCGGATCTACGTGACCATGATAATCCGATGATCATCGTTCCGACAGATCGCATCGCATTTTCGAGCTCCAATGCGGGAGCCGCCTGGGGGTATTTCAATTGTTGTTGGTTTGAATCGAGAGGGGTTGCAGTGACTCGGGTTAGCGGTCGGTAGATTCGGCGAGGTGGCAAATATCATCCAGGAGCAGCAACGACCCCATCCCCGAAGGGGAAAAATGGGGTTGGACAAGGAACCGCGATTGACCATCTCCTGCCCAGAAGACGGGTGTGTTTTTGAGTGAGGAGACCCCATGCGAGAAGTTGCCTGGGTCGGTTTCGGCGAGGCCATCATCGATAATTTAGGCCTTGAGATGCGGCCTGTGAGGCTGTCCGGTCGGTCTCGAGACATCCCTGCAGTTATGGACTTCGAGTTGCCGCGCGAGAGATAGTCCAGCCCATTTCGCTTCGGCTTCTTCGCCGCTGTCATGAGGCGGTCCAGCTTTTTTGGCTTGAAACATCCTCGCAGAGCAATCTTCGCCCGGTGCATCCTCGCTATTCTGGATTAGTCGATGCTTTTGCCGCACGGTATCAGATCCCGTTTCCTCGCTGCTCTGGGCTCGCAGTTGCCGTGGACTGTTCGTTTCGCTTGAGATCTCATTGCCACTCCGGGTTTATGTACGTCTTATGTCCTCACCTCACGTGGTCCCGGTCTTTTTCGCCTGAGGCATCGTTGGGACTATGTTTTCGAGGATGTCCAGACCTGAGGTGGTTCAATCAATTTCGCCCGAGATCTCCCATTTCTGGGCTCGGAGATGTCCTGTCAATTTGTGCCACTTTTCAGTGGACACTCGGGGATACTGGAACCCTCCTTGTTGCCAGTGGCAAATCTGTCAATCGGGGCCACTTGTCAAATGGGCGAGGGTAGCTGGGCATTGCATGAGGCGGGTTGCCCGTCGATTTCACACACTAGTCACCCAAAGCGGTAGGCGGACTTCCTTGTCCTTGCCTTAGATGCTGTGTGGCACTTCGTTGGAGGGTGGGCCCGACGTTGCCCCATCAGCCAGACCACTGCAGCTACTGCACCTCGCCTTGTCTTTGCGCAACAAAGATGTGATATCACATGGCCTTCAAGGCCTGCTGGTTCGAAAGTCATGGGGCGTCGCGTGAAGTTCGCGGGAGGGGTCATTGATATGCCAGCATTATGCTTGGCCAGGCCTTCCATGGCCTTTCGCCAGCTGCCCCTGAGAGGCTTGGCCAACTTAGGAGCTTCGAGTCCTGGCCGATCCGACTCTTGGGTTCCAGTTTCGGAGAGCTGGCGCAGCGCGCCCCTGAAAAAAGTGCTGACGCTTTTGACGCTCCTGACGCTCTTGACGCTCTGGCGCTCCTGACGCTCCTGACGCTCCAGGCGTCAGAGCGTCAGGAGCGTCAAGGGCGTCAGGGGCGTCAGGATCGTCAGAGCGTCAAGAGCGTCAGGAGCGTCAAGAGCGTCAGAGGCGTCAGGAGCGTCAGGGAGCGTCAGGGAGCGTCAGGGAGCGTCGGGGGCGCCGGGGGGCGTCAGGAGCGTCAGGAGCACCAGAGCGTCAGGAGCGTCAGGGGCGTCAGGAGCGTCAGGAGCGTCAGGAACGTCAGGAGCGTCAGAGCGTCAGGAGCGTCAGGAGCGTCAGGGGCGTCCACCTCTCTGGCTCCGCCGCTCGAGACATCCTCACATCTCCGGCACCGCCGTTCGAGACATCCTCACAAATCGGGCGCCGCCGCTCGAAACGTCCTCACAATTCGGGCGCCGCCGCTCGAGACATCCTCACAACTTCGGCGCCGCCGCTCGAGACATCCTCACAACTCCGGCGCCGCCGCTCGAAACTTTCTCACAATTCAGGCGCCGCCGCTCAAAACATCCTCACAACTCCAGCGCCGCCGCTCGAGCGTCAGGAGCGTCAGGGGCGTTAAGAGCGTCAGGAGCGTCAGAGCGCCAAGAGCGTCAGGAGCGTCAAGAGCGTCAGGGGCGTCAGGAGCGTCAGGGAGCGTCAGGGAGCGTCGGGGACACCAGGAGTGTCAGGAACGTCAGGAGCGTCAGAGCGTCAGGAGCGTCAGGGGCGTCAGGAGCGTCAGGAGCGTCAGGAGCGTCAGAAGCGTCAGGAGCGTCAGGAGCGTCAGGAGCGCCAGGGGCGTCCACAACTCCGGCGCCGCCGCTCGAGACATCCTCGCAGCTCCAGCGCCGCCGTTCGAAACATCCTCACTCCAGGCTATACAGCCTGGCCTGACGAGTCGGGGTGACTCGTCCAATTGTTCTGTTTCGGTTTCGTTCGCCGTGCCTGATTCGAGGAGCTCGCGGTGGATTGCCGAAGAAGAGGAGGACTAGGAGGAGGAGGAGGAGGAGGAGGAGGAGGAGGAGGAGTAGGAGGAGGAGGAGGAGGAGGAGGAGGAGGAGGAGGAGGAGAAAGGAGGAGGAGAGGAGGGAGGGGGGAGGAGGGAGGAGGAGAGGGAGGAGGGAGGAGGGAGGAGGGAGGAGGGAGGAGGGAGGAGGGAGGAGGGGAGAGGGGGGAGGAGGGAAGGAGGCAAGCTAGGTGCGCTCGCGTCTCCCTCCCATCCCTTACCATGGCGCAGATCCCCTCTCTACTCGCACAGTCGGATGTCGAGCAGGGCAATGATCCCGACAGGGTACGCGATGCATTGTAGAGCGCGGCATGGCATGGCAGAGGAGGCGGAAAAGACGGCAACTGCGATGGCGACGGCGACGAAAGAGGAGCAAGAAGGGAGAGGAAGGTGAGGACGACGACGAATGAGCAGCAAGAGAAAGAGGCGGGACGGCGACGACGACGACGTCGATGACGACGACGTCGACGGAGAACGACGTCTTGTCGGCAGCGGGTTCGATCACGATCGGATATCGGTCGCGGCAGGCCGAGATGGACGCCATCCGCAGGGAAGAGAGCAGCCTGTACGCTGCCAACAAGGCGGGGTGGCATGGGGGGGACCGCCCTCCCTACTCTCCCTCGCTCATCTTTTTCCTCCCTCCTCTCCTCCCTCCCCGTCCTCATCCTCCTCCTCCTCCTCCTCGTCCTCCTCCTCCTCCTCCTCCTCCTCCTCCTCCTCCAGGGCACCAGGCGCTGACGCCAGAGGAACCTATGATCGCCAACTCCTCGTCCTCCTCGTCGTCCTCCTCGTCCTCGTCCTCATCCTCCTCATCCTCCCCATCCTCCTCGTTCTTGTCCTCCTCCTTCTCCTTCTTCTCCTCCTCCTCCTCCTCCTCGTCCTCTTCCTCTTCCTCCTCGACCAGCCGCCCGACCAGCCGGCGGGGGGAGGGCCCTCAGATCAGCGGGTCCCAGTGCCAACGCCAGGTGGGGACAAGGCTAGGGGGGCATCGAGGCTTTTCCTCCGAAGGGGGGGGGACAAAGCCCAGGAGGGGGGGGTGCATCGAGGCCGGCCAGATGTGCATCAGGATCAGGCCGAGCGAGTTTCTCGAGATCAGTGGACTTCAGTGCCAACGTCAGGGGGGGACAGGGCCCAGGGGAAGGGGGGGTGCATCGAGGCCTTTTCTCGGGAGGGGGCAGGCACAGGAGGTGGGGGGGTGTATCAGGGTCAGGCCGAGGGAGCTCCTCGATGTCCTCGGGGGCTCTGGTGAGCTGAGGTTTCCACCGGGTACGCCTCGTCGATAGCGCGCTCTGGGGTGTGCCCGAGTCCGGTCTGACTTTCATCATGGAGTGATGTGGAGTTGCAGTGGCCGAGCGGCCGCCGGAGGAGGCCCGAGCTCTTGGCCCAAAAACCAGACACAACGGTGGTGGGGTAGGGGGGGCGGAGGCAAGGGG